ATTCCTGCAACCGTGACCAATTCAATTTAGGTTTTAAAAGAGAAATGGGAACTATGAGAAGTAGGTAGTGAAGTCAAAGCATTGAAATTCCATTGACCTTGATCCATTTGTGGCTTTGTGAAGACATACAAGACTGACGGGTTTAGAAATTTGTGCCCATTTCGTTGGTTAATAGAGTCTGTAACAAATAGTCTGAAGTGGTCATTATATGTAAGGAGTGTTTAAAGGTATGTGAATGCCATTTACTAACTTTCGTTCACTTTCGGCCCTAATCACTGTTTGATAACATTCAGGGAGTGTGCACTGTGGTCCAAACTACACTAAATGACAAAGTCTTAGGCTTGTCTAGCTAATTGTTTGGTTTCCTTACAGCGAAGAACGAGAAGGTGTGGGCCACTCTTCTCGTGATTGCCTACCTTCGCACTTGTCTGGCTTCGAAGAAAGACGAATGGGAGCTGGTTGTGGAGAAGGCCATTGATTGGTTGACAAATGACCAAGGCTGTTGTGATATTGAGGCTCTAATCCAGAAGGCTGAGGCAGAGTTGAAAAAGCTTATAAAGAATTAAAATTGACCTCTTTGACAACTGAATGTTTCCTTTTTTCAATGACTTTTCTCAACTAACTATTTTCTTGCTTTATTAATTTCAATAAAAATATGCTTTTCGTCATTTGATTAGCACGTCTTCTTTGACCCGCCGAAGTTTCATCACACTCGGTTTAATTTAGAGATTGCCGTTTCTCAGAAGAGCAAGAAGAGCAGCAATTAGAACTTAGAATTCACAATTGTTGAAGAACATATGAGAGCTAGTAACCCCATAGCTCGTTCAGTTATTGAGTTTTGTTGATGATATGAAGGTAGTGGGCTTGATGCTTTCACTGACCACCACTAAAATATTTCGTGAGTAGAAGTGTCGGCTACGCGGAGATTAGTAAAACTTGAATCTCCCACAGGTCTTCACTTTCGATTTTGGTTGGGGTGTAATTGAATTCGAATGAGAGAAGAGCTTAATGCCTTAAAGCCTTAGATTCGATAGGAGACCTACCCCTGAAATAGGATGCAAATGTTGATGGAAATGCACCAGAAATCATGACCATCTTCTCACGTTTGTGTGCACTATTCCAATTAATGGATTAATTTCAGTTTGAATGCTGCCAGCGATAGAGTATTACATTGAGTAGCAATTTCATGAAACGTAATTGCTCAGACTGTAGAAGTGTGTACAAGTTAAGATGAGGATGAGGAGAGTAGGTCATTGGAAGCCTCTATTTTGGTATTTGGGTCGTTGGAGGGCAGGCTTTATGATATTTGTCATTAGTTGACTTCGGACTTCACGGAGTGGAGGAGAGTCAAAGTCATTAAAATTGGAGTTGAGGAATAGAAGAATGATTCACAGATTCGAGAGAGACAGATCCAAAGGTAGAGAAATAGGAAAGGTGAGTAATGTGAAAGTTTACGAATATTACATACAGTAAGTCGGGTCATGGTAGTCAGAAGTCGATTGACGGTTAATAGATTTTTTGCTGTTGGGATGTGCGATAGACTTACTTCCACGTACAGTAACCTGGGCAACGTATAATCATACGGCAAAAAGTCTAATAATGGCCAGTTGACTTCTTACTACAAACAACCATGATTCCATTGTACAGAGCATTCGACAACTTCCGCAGTATTCTACCTAATGATAATATAATAAAGCTAGCCATTTGAAATAAATAAAAATAAATAGGCTCTCCAGAGATATATAAAATTGAAAAGACCATGAAATTGTTTAAATTGACACGGAGGTGAAAAATAATTATGATTGACACGCAAACCCAACGAAAGTAGATTGCTGTAGGAACTAAGATTTTTATATTTTTGTCGAGATACGTTGCTAATAGGTATAAAAAATATTTTATTTATTATTGTTTCGGAAATAAATGTAAACTTTCATGCACAGGTATTTGTGAGTATCTAGTAGAGATAAAATAGTTTCATTCGAAATTGCAAGAGGGTGACGAGAAGGAAATATGAGGTATTTCCATCACCAAATATAAGTAATCTTGTAATTTCATGCATTTCCATTAAGAAATTTGATAATGAACGATTTGATCAACAAAGAAAGGGTTAGTGCTCACCCAATGCAAACTGCTTTGCTTTTCTTACNAATGGCAGGTACCCGCATTAATAGTCTCCAAATCCTCCAATAAAAATAAAGACATGAAACAGGTGCATAGGGGTATACTTACTCGAGAAGGGCCATGCAGCATTAGCGTGTATTTTGTGAGTACATGGCTTGTGAAACTCCCTCCACGACCAAACTAATACTAGGTCTAGTCTTACTAATCTCTTTCCTCTACCTTATAATCAACTACTACTCTGCAATTAAGACTTCACACTTACTCGCCATTTTTAATTTGAGTGCAACCAATTCCCTCTTGCCATGCAAGGATCCCGATGCAAGGGAAAATTTCAAAAGGGCCAAAACGCTGTTGCAAGGTAAGCACAACACCTCCCTCTCAGAAATCGATCAAATCGCCACAATGGAAATCGCGCGTTATGATTGCTCCTACCAGGACCCTGCCGAACCGAAAATCATCATCGTTGTTCCTTATAGACATCGCGAATTGGACCTCCTGTCGTTTATTCTCCACATGGTTCCCTATTTTCGCCACCTTGTTAGGCAAATGGAAATACTCGTAGCTGAACAAAATGGAACAGGGCCATTCAATCGAGCCAAGCTCTTCAATGCGGCGATTCGAGAGATAAAGAAGGCTCCCAAAGGCGACCGACTCTCCGGAAGCAAGTGTTTCGCATTTCATGATGTCGATAAATTGCCAATTAATCTTGATGTCCCCTACTCCTGTGCCACGGGACCCCGGCAACTTCTACGGATCCTCCATAGTGATGACTCAATCACTGAGTGTGTTCCGTGTTCACAATGACATATATTGCTCGTTCGATTACCTCTTCTTGTCTAATACCACGCTTTATTGCCTGCAGAACCTACTCCTCTTTTCTTGGAGGTGTAACAATGTTTTCAATGTATCAGTTGGAGAGAATTAACGGAGCCTCGAATTCGTTTGTGGGATGGGGTGGTGAGGATGACGACCTCTGGCGACGCACCCAAATGGCCCGAATGAAGGTTGTGAAACCCGATAAGAATAAAGGCCAATTCTACGAAGGTAACTATCAGCATTCTCGAGCAGCAAATCCGAATCGTTTGGCACTTTTGAAACGTGAAAATCAGGAATCGATTATGCGGAATGATGGGCTACGACAGGTCAATTACACTCTTAGATCCCGAGTGAATTATAACACGTTTGTGTGGCTACTTCTCGATGTATAGTATTTGCGATCATTTAATTTTTTGCATTTCCTACTTTCCAATAACTCTAGCCATTATCCCCCTCCCTCCCCCCCCCCCCCCCCGCGAATTCTATTTCTTGTCCGTGAGGCCTTTTTTAGTCTAAATAGGTCTATTATTTACTATTTCCTTGAATTTGTACAGTTTTGCACATATGGTGGAAATCCTATTATCATTCTGTTATTACGAGAGTAGAAATAGCTTTCACGTGACTTCATTGATTGGTATCAGAGGCACAGAAATTGGAGTCGATAGTGTTTGTATTACTAATGTCTCAGTCAATTTAATACCTATCTATTCTTTAGAATGCTCTATTTAGATGGGTTTCACCATGTTGAAGTCTATCGTACGTGCCAACGCCCATCACCCACTCACTGCGTTTGCCTCGAGGACTATCTAGTACTTTGTCTTTGCTTTAGCTATTGATGTCTATCTCACCCCTTTGTCTCTATTCCCTAGTTTTCACGAAACCGGACTTAGAAGTATTGATAAGGAATCAGGCAAGAAGGCGAGTGGAAGCACTAAATGGAGATTGAGGTGAAGTTGTAGAGGGCATGAAGTTAACTCCCCTAGATCAGTAATTCAATGCACAGAAAGGTGAAGGATGAGTATTCAAGAGAGAGCCTTTTTTAGTATTTGTTGAGCTTATTGAAAGGGATGTTTTTTCTTATGGTTATTATAAAAGGAGACTAAAGGACATTAGCAGATCACCAAATCACTAATTCACCACAATGAAATAACATTTATTTGGTTGATGTGTTAAGTTTGCACTGATCTACTCCAACCGACCGTTTCGTAAGACGTTTTGGCTGGTAATCTACTATTGACTGTAGAGGTTGTGAGCGCATTGTACTTAAAATTGTTCAGTAGAAAGTTGGCTTACAAAATTATCACACCATTATCACCTGTGTACTTGTTTATTATTTTTCACCTTTAATAACATTCGTTCTATCCAGCCAGGAATATATGACGTATCATAATCAGTCTTTAATTCAATCTTGTCATCCATTATTATTTACCGTTCCATTGTAAGCACACTTATTTACTCAACTGCCATTGAATACTTTCAATTTGGAAATTGTAACGAGTAATACCATATCGAAAGAATTCAACAAAAATTTTACAATTTCTGCCAAATGGATGCCGAAATCTTTTTAATCACTACCAAAGCAAATTATCAATGTTATTTTGCAAGATAAGTATTTACCCAATTAAAACGACTCCGAAAAGACTAATTGACTGATGTAAATTTCCCACGGCCTCTTGGATTAGAGCCTCAACATCACAACCACCTTGGTCATTTTTCAATCAATCAATGACCTTCTCCACAATCAACTCCCATGCGTCTTATAGTAAACATTGGTATAGGAAAGTGTTTGTAGTAAGGAAACTAGGTTGAACGAATTAATGCGAATACTGTTTCACTGGACAAAGCAAGAAATTATACACAAAGTATGCAGATGAGAGAATATCGAAGTAAATCTGTTGGACAACAATGCACAAGATAGGTGGGCCTATTCACTATAACAATTTAAACCGCCATTGGGTCGAAGAGTGACGATAGAATGATGCTGTGTACGTTAAGTAGACGGGGTAGGGGAGTTCGCACAAGGAAATAGATCATTGTCAGACCAATTCAAGGGGCTTGAAAATTTGCTTTCAAAATACATTTGATCACAAGCGGTCAAAAATTAATTCGTAATCCGCCGATTCCGAAATAGACAATAAGTTATGTGGAAAAATGGGCGTAGCATCTGCAATAATTACTACGAAAATGTCTGAGATAATGTGCTAAAATGGCAAACCATTCAGGGGTGGATCTTGGCCTAACACCACATTCACGGATTTTATTAATCCCTCCCACTACACCCACTATAACACACTTGTTTTGCCTTGATTTAGGCTAAAATTCAACTGTTTCTTTATCTTAAAAGGCAATTATCTAAAATTAATTTCCCCATGAATGACAAATTTTGATATTTTTCAGGGAAATTGAAGAGTAATGGACATTATTTATCTCTCAGTTCAATGGTGAATTTTAGATGACAATAAAAATACTAATTCCTTATGAATCTTTTCATTTTTTTTGATCTGCCATAAAAATGGACAATTTGAAATGTGGAAATCTTTGAAAAAGAAATAGCAATGAATATGTAAAATGCATTCCCATTTTTTAACTGTATAAGAGCAGACTAGATCAACAAATGCAGTAGAAGTGAAACACTGCATTGAATGGAATTACTATAAAATGAATTGCAAAACGTTTTCGTTCTATTATTCTATCTCTATAAGTTGGTTAGGGCCTTACAATTGTCGTTTGAAGGTAATAGAGGCAACAAATAAGTTAGCAACAGAGTTTTGTGGATGAGAACTAATTGCTAGACCATAGGTGATGTAAGTAAGAAAATACACCTATTTGAACCCATCTCCTACAGAGGAACTCGAAAAGACAGTTTAGATATAATTTACTTATTGAGATGAAATGTGTACGCTCGTGAATGTACATGTTCATATGCATTTCAACTCCCCTCACTGAAATATTCTTTGTCTGATTCACGTTTACCCATTGAAGCGCCAAACATCATTTGTATTTGCAGGTTCTGGAAGTTATGAAAAGGTAGATCTTTTAGTTATAGGTTGCACACTGCAGAAAAAAATATCTGTCTAGCACTATCATCAATGCTTTAAGTAGGACAAAATGAATATCCAATTGCTTGCTACTTACCAAGTCTGGCTAAGAAGGATCAAAATCCTGTTGAGTAATAAGTGAGTATGGGGAAACAAATAACCAAAATTTCTCAAATTATGACCTCCCTATTTATGTGATAGCCAAAATAATTATGTTTCAACTACTATGTTTTGTCCTCAAGATACCCTCAATGACAATGCTCAATACGTGAATACTTTGGAGATTATACAGCGAAATAGGGATGCTGTTGACTAACATGGCGCACTCACAGCCTAACTTCAATCAATATCTTGACTGCCTATCTACTCACTTACGCCACACTGTCATCTACATATTTTTCTCCATTTTGTCATTATGCAAAAAGAGTAATATTAAAAAGGAATAACTAAGAGAAAACGCACCCTCTCACCGCATTTTGTTAAAATTACTAAAACAAATATTTCATTTATTAATATTCACTGCTCTTGCTTCGAAAGCTGATTGGTTGGGGTTTTTGAAAGTAATTAATTAATTCATGCCTACATTCGCTTATATTCTCGCAAAATTGGCAAAAGTGTATGTACACATGTCCATTACAAAATTACAAGCTCACAAACATAGCTCCAATTGAGGGTCTTGTTCCACACCAACAAATGTGGTGAAACGTGCAATCACATTTGCGTTGACTGAGATATCCACAATTTGCTGACGAACTTCTTCAGCCTCCTTCTTACCTTCCTCACCCCTCCCCTCAAGACTCGAGTACATGTCCACCAGTTCCAGCAGTTGCGCCTTTGCTGCAAGTCGACGCAGACCCAAGTTTTCATACTCCACTCCCAAACTCTCCACCTTCGAGGTTTGCGTATGAACTTCCTCATTCAATTTGTAACTCAGAGTGAGAGTGCACTCCTCCCCCCNCCCCCCCCCCCCCCCCCCCCCCCCCCCCCCCCCACCTACCCACATAAGAATTTCCAGATTCTTCAATAGCTTGGAAACACAATATTTCTTAACGGCTTTGCATCTCATCCTCATTACTCTCACCTTCTCTTAAAATTAACTTCCCTTCACCACTTCTATCAATTCGGTGCCTATTCAGAGTTATATTGAATAGTCATGGGCATTGATAATAATAGAAGTTGAAGCTGTAAGAATGACCAAATCAAGTGTCATTTACACTAGTCCATTAATTACTGAATTATTCAAAACAAAGAGAAATTATAAAAAACCTCCTTCATCCGCCACCAAACCCACACATTACCACTTGGAACAAATACGGATGCTATTCAAGCACAAAGGGTGCGCGATAGACTCACTTTCACGTGAGGCACCCTGGGCAACTTATAATCAAACAGCAAAAAATAATTTATTAATTTATATAAATGGCAGACGTTTTGATAGTTATCATAAACCCTTTAGCTGACTTCAGGCTTCACAGAGAGGAGAAGGAAAATCAAAGTGGTTCATAGATGTGAAATAGACAGACATAAAGGTAGAGTACTGGGGAAGTGGTCGAACATTCTGTACAATGCAATCATGGTAGTTTGTAGTAAGATGCCAACTGCCGATTAATAGACTTTTTTGCCGTATGATTATACGTTGCCC